ATCCTACACTTTCATTTTCTCTCGTCACTCAAAGCACAAATTGCAGCTCTCTCCCCGACCTAATAATTATTCGTACGGCTGCATTTTGTTCTTCTCCAGTAGCAGCATGAAACTTGATTTGAGCTGCAGGAACCCAGCCAGTGACTGTACAAGCCGCTGTTGTGACAGCACAAAGCAGAAGCCAACTCGGCAGGTAACTGGACTTGAAGTCAGAGAGATCTTCCCCAGTCAGCTTGAAATAGTAATTTTATAGGGGAGAAAATAGGTTGTCTTTTACCTACCACAGGTTACCAAAGGAAAACTTTGATCCCAAGAAGGACAGGTATAATAAATATCATGACATACCACCATAAAAAGATATTAAAGGTGGAGGTTTTGTACTCTGCAGCAATTCAAGAGACATTTGCAATCTTCTGTCAAGTCAGTATTAAGAATGCAAGCACTTAGGTATCAAAGCACAACATTCACTTGTTAGAAAGGAGTACTCCTAGTGCTTGCCAGTTATATTCTCTTGCCCACTGACTCAATACTTTGGAAGGTCCCAAATACCATACGTGCTGTTACAACAGAATTCATTCATGCTTCCAAAGTAATCCTGGGGAATCCTGGAGGGCTAACGTCAACAATTCATGCTTCCTAATGCCATACTTCAAGTAACTCAAATGCACGTGAAGCTCCTTCTTCACTTTTCTAACTTTCACACCCATGGAAGCAATTCCAAAGCATCAGAAACCAATAACGAAACCTAAATGCATACACACCTAGAGTCACAGGGGTTACATGACTTGAGTGTTCAGTATCACCAATAACCTGATTGTTGAGGCCAGCTGCCAGCATCTCCCTCGTACGGAACTGGGGGAGCTCTCGCCACGGTTCCACCAAAAGAACCCCTCCAACTACAAGCCTCCAACAAGGAGTTAGTGATGGCTATGAAGAGGAGGAACCAGGAATGAAGATCCACCTGTGTTTGCATAGGGGGAAAGTGTTAACCTAACGGCCCACTGAACCAACAGATGGGATGTGTACAAGAAGATGAACATCTTTGCTTGCCAGAAATTGGGATCATACAGTTTTATTTAGACAGGGCATATTATTCACCTTCTTAAGACCTGTAAGAAAGCTATACTGTCCTCAAATATTGTTCTACAGAGATACTAAGCTGGTTTTGTTTCAGTTATAGACACCTCTTTCCC